AATCATTTTAAAAATCGAAAAATTTTAAACCGAAAAATTGAAATCTGAAAATATGAAAAATCCAAAGATCGAGAAATTGAAAAATCTACTATTTACAAAAGTTAAGCAGTCGAAAAATTGAAAAATCCAGAAATTGAAAAATTTGGGAAATCGGAAAAATATCGAAAAATTGAAAAATTCCGGGCATTAAAACATTGAAAAATTGAGAAATCAAAAACTTGGAAAATGGAGAAATCAAAAAATCGAAAAGACGGAAGATTTTAAGAATGGAAAACCCGAGAAGTCGAAAATCCGAAAAAACAAAAAATTGAGGTATTAAAAAATAAAAAAATCGTGAAATCTAAACATTCAAAGGTCATAAAATCAATAAATTGAAAAATGAAACAAAAAATTAAAACAAAAACCAAAAATTGAAAAATTGAAAAATCCAGAAATCTAAAAACCGAAAAATCGAGAAATCGAAATTGAAAAATGAAACATTTTAAAAATGGAAAAATTTAAAACCGAAAAATCGAAATCCGAAAAGTCATAAAATCCAAAGATCAAATCTTATGTTTACAAAAAATAAACAATCGAAAAATTGAAAAATCAAGAAATCGAAAAATTTTAAAAGTGAAAAAAACGAGATATCGGGAATCGCAAATTCGAAAAACCGAAAAATTGAAACAGTAAAAAAAATCGGGAAATCGAAACGTCAAAAATCGTAAAAACAATTTAAAAATCGAAACTGAAAAATTGAAAAATTGAAAATTAGATAAATTGAAAACCGGAAAATCGAAAAATTAAACATTTAATAAAACGAAAAATTTAAACACTTAAAAATCCAAAACCTAGATAGTCGAAAAGTCGAAAAATCGAGAAATCAAAACATCAAGAAGGTGAAAAATTCAAAAATTGAGAAGTCCAAGATTATTAAATTGATGAAAACGAAAAATTAAAAAATCGAAACTTCTAAAAATCAAGAAAAAAAAACGAGAAATCAAGAAATCGAAAAATCTGCAATTTAAAAAATCGAAAATGAAAAATCCAAAAATTGAATCGCAAAACTGAAATGCCAAAAAATTGAAATCGAAAAATCCTAAAATCGAGCCATTGAAACATCAAAAACTCGGAAAATCTAGAGCTTAAAAAAGCCAGATGCTGAAAGTTCCCAAAATTAAAAAATTTGAATATCGAAAAATTGAAAAATTACCGGAATTGAAACATTAAAAATTGAGAAATTAGAAGCTTGAAAAATCGAGAAATCAAAAAATCAAAAAATCGAAAAGACGGAAGATTTTAAAATTGGAAAAACCGACAAATCGGAAATTTGAAAAACCAAAAAATTGAATTATTAAAAAATTAAAAAATTGGGAAATCTAAACATCCAAAAGTCATAAAAACCAAATTGAAAAAGCAAAAATTTTAAAAATTAAAGAATCGAAAATATGAAAAATGGAACAAAAACTAAAACAAAAACCAAAAATTAAAAAATTGAAAAATCTAAACTTTAAAAAGTCGAAATTGAAACATAGATAAATTGGAAAATCCCAAATTTGTAAGGTCGAAAAATTGGAAGATCGAGACATTGAAAAATTGGAAAATATCGAAATCTAAATATTGAAAAACCGAGAAGTCGAAAAATTTAATAATTACAAAATTTTTGAAAATTTTAATTTTTGAAAATCGAAATTTTCAAAAATTGAGAAATCGAAAACTTGAGCAATCAAGAAATCGAAAAATTTTAACAGTGAAAAAAACGAGAAACGCAAAATCGGAAATTCGAAAAACAGGAAAATTGAATAATGGAAATAAAAAAAATCGGGAAATAAGAACAAAAAGTGTAAAATTTAAGAAATTGAAAAAACGAGAAACTGAAAAAACGAAAATAAAAAAATTAAAAATGTAAACTGAAACATCGAAAAATTCAAAAGTAGATACATTGAACAATCCTAAAACTGATATGTCAAAAAATTGAAAAATTGAGACAACGAAAAACTGGAAAATTCAAAAATCTAAAAATCGAAAAACCGAGGAATCTAAAGATCAAAAATTTTTAAAGACGAAAAATCCGACAGTGTCGAAAAATCGAGAAGTCAAAACATCAAAAAATTGAAAAATTCAAAAACTGGAAACTTTAGAAATTGAAAAATCCAAAAATATTAAATTTATGAAAACAAAAATGAAAAATCGCTCTGGATAATTAAAAAAAACGAGAAACCAGGACATCGCAAATGAAAAACCGAAAAACTGGATCGCAAAATAAAAAAAAAAACGAGAACCAGGAATTCAAAAAATCTGCAATTTAAAAAACTGAAAACGAAAAATCGAAAAATTTGTTTAAAAAATTGATAAATTGAAAAATCCCAAAACTGAAATGCCAAAAAATTGAAAAAACGAGACGTCGAAAATTGAAAATTTTCCAAAATTAAAATTTTCAAAAATTGAGAAATGGAAAACTTGAAAAATAAAAAATAAATCCAAGAGTCGAAAACTCGAAAAATCAAGAAATCAAAACATCAAAAAATTGAAAAATCCAAAGATATTAATTTTGTGAAAACGGAAATTTAAAAAATCCAAATTCTGAAACATCCAAAAAAAAACAGAACTCAGAAAAGCGAAAAATCTGCAATTTAAATAATCGAAAATGAAAAATCGAAAGATGAAATTGAAAAATTGAAAATCCCAAAACTGAAATGCCAAAAAACTGAAAAATCGATTCGCGGAAAAACTGGAAAATCTAAAAACCTGAAAATCGAATTTGAAAGGTTGAAAAATCCTAAGACCGAACCATCGGAACATCAAAAAATTGGAAAATCTGAAATTTAAAATATAAAAACATCGAAAAATTGAATAAACCGGACGCTGAAAATCCCCAAAATTTAAAAATTCGAATATTGAAAAACCAAAAATTCCATAAATGAAATATTCGAAAAATCAAACAAATTAAAATACAAAAATCTAAAAAGTTAAAATAAAAAGCTATTAATCCAAATTTTGAAAATGGAAAGTCGATAAATCGAAAGTCCTGAAATCGAAAAGTCGAAAAATGGAAAGACTGAAAAATCGAGAAATTGAACTTAAAATAATTCGAGTATCGAAAAATGCAAAATTCGAAGAATGTAAAAATTGAAAATTCGAAATTTTAAAAATTGAAAATTTTAAAAATCGCAAATCCGGAAAATCGAAAAATCAAAAACCTGAGAAATCCAAACATCGAAAAATTGAAAACTGTAACATCGAGATCGCGAAACATCAAAAGATCGACAAACAGAAAAATCTAAAATTAAAATATCAAAGAGTGGAAAAATTCCAATAGTGAAATGTTAAAAAATCGTAAAATCGAAAAATTGACAAATCGTAAATGTAAAATTTCAAATATACGAAAAACTGAAAAATCGAAAAACCGGGAAATCCGTAAAACAAGAAGTCGGGAAATCGAAAAATCTAAAATTTAAAAAATCGAAAAGTTGAAAAATCCAAAAATGGAAACATTTTCAGAAATGGAAAATATCGAAAAATCGAGAAAAATTGAAAATTTTAAAAATGGAAAACAATTGAAAAACCTTAAAACTGAAATATCGAGAAATAGACAAGAAAATTTGAAAAATGTAGAATTAAAGAGTCGAAGAACTCCTCCATGTCGGGATAAATTTTGAATAACGATTCACCATTCTTACGATAACCACAAAAAGTTTACAAGATTTCAGACCGTTTAGTTTTGCAACTTCATAGTCAGTTACAAAATGTACAATTTTGATTTTCTTTCCAAAAATCTGGATATCCGGACGATTTTCCAAATACACCTTAGTTTACGTTTAGGAAGTAAAAAGCCCGAACGAGTTATAGAATAAACAAACCGGGTTTAAATTTTAAACAATGGACAATAAAGATCGCTTTTATGTCTAAGTAGATGAGGGTAATAAAGTTGTTATTTTGGATAAGGAGGACTAATACGAGAGGGTTTACCGCCTGCTCGTTGACGATCTTATCCGTCGATTTTTAGAAACTCATTACTCGAAATGGTAGATGAGGTAAACAACCCTTTCAAATCACGTAGAAATATTATTACAGTACAGCGTGCTAAAAATTCATAAAACCTGAAAACGAACTAAGTAATAACTCGCCGGCTTCGTTTAACAATTGAGTAATCAAAGAACTCATTCAATTTAATTTGAATTGATTTCAATTTTTTTATTTTCTCCGCACAAACGTGACACCAACATAGACGCGTATAACTGAATTATTGATTTTTGTTCTTGAGCCATTTAAGCCCTTTCGTAAAAGTTTGAACGATAGTATACTTAAATTGTTTACAGGAGCTTATCCTCTAATTAATGCACTCCCACACACACAATTTTCCGAAGCCTTGAGTGCCATCATTCTTGTTAATAAAGTTACAAACATCGACAAAGATTCGAGCGACTAAATCTCCTGAAAATACCGTTTCAATTAAAACCTCAAACCCATTGTTTTTAGTAAATTCCTTTTATTGTGCGTTACTTCAAAACGGACAAACTCCAATATCTATTTACACTTCCCACAAGCGGAAATTCTGTTTGAACTAACTACCAGATACGATCCAGACTTGGCTTACTTTGTAGATGATTTTTCTTAAATGATATTTACAGAAACAACAATTTTTCCTGGATTGTTAACACAGCATTATCGGTTCAAGTCTGAGAACAAAGACATGTGATGACTTAAGTCCGTTCTACCCCCTGCGACTGAAAAACTAGTTTATTTTCGGGCACCCCGATATTAAAAGTTGCGTTATAACCAAAGTTGTTAAGTTTTAGAGTTTCGGCCATCAATCACGAGCCCACGCCCGAACTCCGTCAGACACAACCATATCACGAATTCAATTTTATCCGAACCGATTTCGAAAAAACCAGAAACAATGTTATTTACAGTTAGCACTCGACTCTTCCACTTCCGATTCGCCCCCAGATAAAGAAACTAATTACTCCCGAATATTCCCACTCAGAAACACGAAAAAAGCGAAAAGCAAAAGCATTTACCCAGAATGGGATGTCCTCGTGGCGTCGCTTGTCCTCCCATTGTTAGAACGTGGGAGTGATCCGAAGTTACAACAATTAACGTCTCCGTAGGATTTATAAGAGCGAGAGCGGCGAGAAGAGCAGTCTCCATCGCAAGAGTTTCGTCTAAGGCCCGGTAGGCGTTGTTGTAGTGGTGAGCGTGATCGATACGGCCACCTAGAAGTACATAATAAGCACAGAAATTAGAAAATCATCCAGACCGAAATTGTCACACACAACATTTAATCCGAATGCAGCGGACGGACGGTTTGATGAGGCCGGCATTAATTATGGTGAATTATGTGATCCGAAAGCAATCACTTCGTTGTTCGGACAAATAAACGAGTTGTTTGCGGAGTGAATTAGTGCCGGGGTGATTTCGGTGGAGGGGTTTATAGCACGTGATCTGGAGCGGGGGATGGGCGAAATTATGGGGACATTTTTTTGCGTGGTTGTGGTGGGCTAAAAAGCTGTTGTTTTTACGTATGTGTAGTTGTTACGGTCTTATTCTAATTAACAATAAAATTAACAATAGTGAATATGCTGAGGAAATAGAAAAAATAAAATGAAAATAAATAAGAGCGACACATCAAAAATTTTAACATAAATGTAGCAATTAATTAATCTAAGGCAAGTAAAGTGAGGACTGTTAAAATGATACGACGAAATTAAGTTCATTAAGTAAGGGCGGCCATAAAAAATTACTTTTTTAAGTTTTTGAATGAAGTTCAATAATACAAAATTTCTGCGTACATATAGAAATTCCTCATTAACAATTTCTAACAAAGGTTTCAACTGACAGTGACGTGGAGGGTAGCATCCATATAATTTAGAGTAAACAAAGTTAGAAAATTTGACAGTAAAGCGATTGGTCTGAACATTTTGATATTAGAATTATCACCTGATTTGAAAACCGGATATATTTTTGATAACTTCCATATATTTAGTCGAATAATTAAATTGAAAATGTGGCAAAGCGATTTGATGAAACACTGGATACAGTCAACTAAAATAAAAGCAGGAATATTATCGGGACCAGAGACACAGTTCCCCTTTAACTTCTTTCTCGATATTAGAAAATCATTACTATCTACCGAAAATGAGCGTAAGACCGAAGTCACACAAGAAGAATCGCCGACTTTATAACCATCACAATTTTCACTACCACAAAATTCATATATTATTCATTAAGGGGACTCGCTAGACGAGGTATAACATTTTTTTGGTTTTTTGTATGAAAAAATTATATTAATATAGATGTATCATACATCAAACTGCAGCTTTTTTCATATTCTAGAGCGCAGAGACCAGTTTAATCAACTAAAAAAATATGGCTGAGAAATATCGTAAAAAAAGCACCATTGTATGTTTTCTTTTCAAGTTTTTTGAGTTATGCTCATAGCCATCATAGAATCGCACATGGATAAAACATCACTTTTTACAGGGTGCAGAGTCATTAAATGTTTGTTAGTGGTACAATTTGTTTAAATAATAATGTGTTTATTAAAATCAAAATATACCATAAATTAATGCAAAATACGCCGAATAATTTTAACAGGAATATCAGAGGAAAATTAATGATCTATTGGTTAGCAGAGTTTTTAACAAAAACTAACAATTATTTAAAAAAATGGGTATCAATTCGACAGAATTTGAGCAGTTAGTTCAGTACTTTGCCGATAGGAGGGCCACTAAAATTTACGGAAGCGACTTTCCAGGTAAAACCCTTATCGCCTGCTCTACCATAAGCTGATTGTTAGAGTTCTCGGCTGATTTTTCTAATTTTTGGCAAGGAACTCAGTTTTATAACAAGCCGCCAGGACCGGCCGTAGTAATCTATTGTTAAGGAAATTAACTTTTACGCAATGAGGTACTATCATAAAACCGAATTAAAACTGGGGAACTATAATATTTTTACTCCACTCAGGGTCCTGAATTCAATACACATGATTACTAAAAATTCATTGTAATATTATTGTTAATATATATTTTGCTTTGTTAATTAATAAAACTAATAACCATATTTATAATAATAATAAAAAATATATAAAATACAGCTTTTGTTTAACACGTATAAGTAGCTAAGTGTATCTACTACTTATCCCAGAAAGGAGGTGTTTTAAAAAAGCCCTACGCCTAGTAACTTCTTCCTTCATTGTTTATTCGAAAAAAGTGCTCGTATATGTTTTCATTTGCCGAGAGATCATTTTCAAAATATATTTATAATAAAAATATGCAAGTCTTGGTGATGAAAAATGTACTCCTAATAAATTATTAAAGTACATAAAAATAGAAACAAATTTTATTTATTTAAAAAAAAATCTCTCGCAAAGGCAGGTTCCTCTTTCTTCTTGAATCAATTATTTCGGGCAATAACGCGCCAAAGTAAAATCTGCCAAGTTTATCTGCCATCTTTTTACATATATTTCTTCGTATTTATAAATTTTTTCTATATTTATTCCTTTGGGTGTCCATACAACAAAATAAACTTGTGAAATACCCGTAACAAACATTTGTTCCTGGACTTGAAAGTAGTAATCATGATTTTTTTTTAGTTTCAATTCTCTGTCTGTCAATGTACAAAATTTGATTATTTTTTTTATAACCGCTTCTTCGGGAGACAAATCTTGCGATTTTGAAGGGCATTTAATTTCTACTAATGCACTCTTATCCTCCAGAACCCTGTCTGGACTAGCAGCCAAGTAAGGAAATTGTTTTGAAATAAACAAGGCACACCGTTCAGTTTTTATATTTTTATTTATTTCAAAACACTTGACAGCTTTTTCCTCACTTTGATGTCCATAGTATGTATGACTATTACCTCTAAAGTACTGTACAACACAGATTCCACAGTTTCAGCTATTGCTGTAGTCGGTCTAAGTTTGTAAATACGTCCAAAATTTGAAGCAGTAACCCTAATTTCTCTTTCTTTTACCCAAATGTGCCTGTTTCTGTCTATTTCAATTTGGTCTAAATTCACAAAATTTCTACATCCATGACAGGATTTTCTAAAAAATATTTAAACCATAATTGCAGTCGGGACCAGCATACGTAAATTTTTTAGGACATATTTTTTTTACGAATACTTTGTCTAAAACGAGCTTGTTTTATAGACGAACAATATTTTTTTGTTATTAAACCAGAACCGTTTTAATCACAATATATTTACTTATCCCCTCTAAGAAATTGATGACGTCACCTCAAAATTTTGCTGAATAAATCCTATCTAAATTGTATAAAATATGATGAGTCACTTCTTGTGATTTATCACTCCATTCATGTTTTTTGAGTTTGCATATACAGGATGACCCCAAAAATTAATGAATGCGTAAATCTATTTTATTGATTTAATCAGGAACTACAGAATCCAATGCTTTGAAATCTTGCAAATGTTTTAAGGTTATAAAGAGCATAATACGTTTTTAGTCAAAATATATTTGCTTATCCCCTCCAAAAAATTGATGACGTCAGGAACTACAAAACCGAATGCTTTGAAATCTAATGTGAAAAAAAACATAATAGACATGCAGTCGTCACTTTTCCGAAAGCGAGGGAAGTACTGTCAACTCTTTAGACCAATTTTTTTTATTTTTCCATTTTTCCATTTCTCAATTTTTCAATCGTTCAGTTTGGGATTTTTTCACTGTTTCGATTCTTTAATTTCCCTTCCATTTTTAGGTTTTTCAATATTTCAGCTTTGGAATTTTGCAATATTTCGTTTCTTCAATTTTTCAAATTTTTGATATTGTGTTTTCTCGGTTTTTAAATTTTTCGATATTTTAATTTTTCAGTTTTTAACGTTTTAAGTTTTTAGATTTCTCACTATCTCGACTTTTCGATTTTTCAGTTCCATGATTTTTCAATTTGTCGAATTTTTAAATTTTAGATTTTTTGTTCTCGATCATTCAATTTTCTGAGTTTTCAGGCTTTCAGATTTTTTTTGTTGTTCAATTCTTGGATTTTAAAAATTTTTGTTTTTTAAATTTTCCTATTTATCAACTTACTGGGATCTCAATGTTTTGATTTTTTGATTGTTCAATTTCACGATTTTTTGAATTTTTAGTTTTTGATACGAATTTTTTTTTCAAAAATTTTCAGTTTTTCAATTTATTAACTTTACGATATTTCAGTTTTACGATTTTTAAATTATTTTATTTTTCAGTTTTCAATTTTTGACGTTTCTAAATTTTTCGATTTTTCAATTTTTCGATTAACTGATTTTTTGATTTTCCCATTTCTCTATTTCTTGATTTTTCAATTCTTTCTTCAATTGTGATTTTTCAATTTTTCGATTTCTGGATTTTTCAATGTTTCAGTTTTGGATTTTTTCACTTTTCCGATTCTTCAATTTTCTTTCCATTTTTCAGTTTTTCAAGATTTCAGTTTTGACTTTTTTCACTTTTTCGATTTTTCAATTTTCCTTCCATTTTTCAGTTTTTCAGTATTTCAGTTCTGAGATTTTGCAATGTTTCGGTTCTTCAATTTTTCCATTTTTTGATGTTTCGATTTCTCGGTTTTTCAATTTTTCGATAGGTATTTTAATTTTTCAATTTTTAAGTTCTAGATTTTCCGTTAATTTTTTTGTTTTCCTTGATGTTTTGATTTCTCGATTATTTGATTTTTCAAGTTGTCGGTTTAGATTTTTTGGTTTTCCAATTCTTCGATTTTTAAATTGTTTAATTTTTAGATTGTTCAATTTCTCGATTTATGGAATTTTCAATTTTTCGGTTTACCGATTTTTTTCATTTAAAATGTTTCAATTTTTCAATTATTAAATTTTCGATTTTTCAATTTTGGTGTAATTTGAAAACGGTATTAATAATACATTTAGGCGAATAAACTAATAGACGGGTTTGATAAGCCTTGTTTGCTCTACGAATATTAAAATTAATATGTCAAAAGAATACGAGAAATGATTATTCTGTGCTGAAGGTATGTTGTGGGCCGCCTGTCATAAATTATCATTATTCTGCATTATCGGCTTTTTCGTACTCGAGAGGTCGAGAAAATGTAAAAGTGGCTATTCGTCCGATGGACTCGATTACTGTATTCTTAGCTTACGCTCGGGAAGTAATTAATAAGTGTGACAAATTCAAACATATACCAATGATAAAAATTTAGATACTTTACTTATTTTTTTACACCGCACTCTGTAAAAAACAGACTGACAATTTTCA